AAATTTTGCCACGAATTAGCTACTTGTACCTCCGACAAGGAGGCGAAGAAGGATTTGACTTTTGAAGGTTTGTGAGGTCTTGAAATAGAGACTGCATAACTCACACGTACTTATTTACCCTAACAAAAATGACTTGTTTTTACAATTTGAAATTTTAGGAAGAAGATATGCTATGGAGGGATACCATGCAAATGAGAATGACTTTGACGCATTGAAATGGGCAGCAATCATGACTGGAGCTGCAACGGATTTTCTTCCTACAAAGGAAAAGATTGAAGAGGGAGCAAAATTCAAGGTGTACACATATTTGTCAGGAAATGCTTCCAGAGTTATCTCTTTGTTTCATAGGAGCTTTTGGATAAGGCTTTGACCATGGACGGGAAAGAATTTTCCCTTTTGTACATGCGTGGAAGGTATTCGTATGCTGTTGCGAATCTCTCTTGGTTTGAAAGAAGGGTGAGTTTGTGTTCGTCTTTCTCCATATCAATAAGCTCATAAAATCCATTTAGGCAGCTGCTATGCTCTACTCTACACCACCCACTGCCACTTTGGAAGAAGCTTTGGATGATTTTCTAGCAGCTTATGAACAAGCGCCAAACTGGATAGAAAATCTGATTTGTATCGCACGAGTTTATCTGGCTAAAAATGATAAGGTACGAGACTGCAGGACATGTGGCTCTTCTCTAAACTTTAGAACATAACCTTCTTAGGCAAACGTCAAGCTATACTGCAACAAATTGCTTGCTCTTACACCAACTGATGATGAAGATCGAGATCGACTGCAAGAAGCCAAGGGCATGTTGGCTCAATGTTAGGGTTTTCATGCTATTTATACACCTTTCTATTTTATCACGTCATTTCTGTACTTCACCTTCATTCGCTAGATGTCGTAATCTAACTTCTCTTCTTTAACAGGGTTATTGGGGTGGCGAATAAGTAATGCTTTTTTTGTTCGAGCTCAAAAAATCTATAAAGTTGAAAAGGCAGAAAGTTACAAAACATTCGAAAGGGCACGTCTTCTTCTACAATTTAGAATTGATTACATTTGAAAATCCAGAGGCCAGAAAAAGCTCAAGCGACAGTTAGCTTCTTCTGGAATGCGAGGAGCTCGAGTAATTCCGTTCGCCACATAATATGGTTGGGTACACCGATTAAAAATATATATCCATTCTCCTCAGTAGGACCTTCCTGTAATAGGCAAGTACATGCTATTGCGCTCAAAATCATGTATTTGTCTGAAAAGTGATCTAGTGCGGTTATCTGACATGCTTATTACATAAATGATACCCACATCGCGCAATAAGCCCTCATTGTAAATTTAGGGTGGATGATATACGATGGTAAGGTCTAAAATCATCAACCTACTTAGAAATAAAAATTGGATCATTCCATGTCTACCATGCGAAGTGGATTTCTCATGGGACAATATGATTTTTGTAATCATCATGTCAAATAATCCCACTAGACAGCTTTTCAGGCAAATCTTAAATTTTGACCGCATATCATATACCTACTATAACCTTACAGTAAGGTAGCATAAGGGGAATGTATATAATTTTTGTAACCAGTTTACCCAATTGCCCTACTAGTTGGCGTTATGGAATTTTTCGAGCTTGTCGCATTCCAGGAATAGTTAACCGCCATTTAGGCTTTTTTCTCGCTTGTAGATTTCAAAATTTAATCCTTTTAATTTTACAAAATCCAGTGGGCAAGATAGCAAAATCGTATAGAAGAAACTTGCTCTTTTCTACGATTTATAAAGTGCTGCCAAAACCTACAGTCTTATAGAATTTTTTGAGCTCTTAAATGCTACGAACTTATACGCCAACCCATGACTTCGGATTGCAAATAGTTTGCATCAATTGTCCTTCATATGCTTAGTATGGTGAGAACAGTCTGGCACTGCCTCTTCAATCAATTTCCCATGTCCATTCTAGCTCTTCTAAGATCCGCAGTGGATATTTTTTTTCATGCTTGTCTATACTAGTGCTGTTGTAATCACTTTTGTTCCTCGCTAGTGATTACTGAGTAATAATAATGCTAGTTGTACTGATCTTTGTTTGTTAAATTGAAATTTCTGCTGGTTATTTTTTCTTGTTGTTGCGAACAAGTTTCGTTTTGATAGTTTTGCTACCAGAGGAGGGAAGCTCCCGATAGGGGGAAGACTTTGCCTAAGGAGCGATCGAATGTGGTGGTATGATGTAGAGATGTATATAAAGCGTTGCAAGAGTTTTATTGCCACTTTCTGGTTTGAGTAGGTGAGAAAGAAGAATTAGCCGTTGAACTGTTGTCCCATATTCAGTAAGACCTAAATCACAGCCGAAGTGTTGAAAATTCAATTAATTAGATTGGAGTTTTCCACCTTCCATAGATGAATAACGATCTGAAAGATGAGCTTAGCGAGAGGCAGTCACCAAAACAACTTACATTAAAAATTCAATGTGGCTATTGACAAACTTGGCCAAGGTGGCCAGATTTAGTATCGTACTCAATTAGTTTAGTGGCAGTTATGGTCTAACTCGCGCGTAATTATTTTTCACCTGCAAAATGTCTTCTCCCATAGGAGAAGCAGTTACGGGTTACTAACTTGTGTATAACAGGTTTGCAATCTGAATCCGCCTCATTTTTATGTATTGGCAGTTGAGGAATGTTCATTTCTCAATTGCTAGATGTGTCGGAAAGTAGGTGAGTATTCAGTGACATGTAAG